TGGGTGAGTGGGTGAGTGAATGGGTGGGTGAGTGGGTGGGTGGGTGGATGGGTGGGTAGATGGATGGATGATAGATAGATAGATAGATAGATAGATAGATAGATAGATGATAGAGATGGATGGATGGATGGATGGATGGATGGATGGATGGATGGATGGATGGATGGATGATAGAGATGGATGGATGGATGGATGGATGGATGGATGGATGGATGGATGGATGGATGGATCGACTGACAAACAGATAGACAAACAGACAGATGATCAAGATGGATGGGTAGGTGATAGAGATGGATGGATGGATGGATGGACTGACAGACAGATAGATAGACAGACAGATGATAGAGATGGATGGGTGGATGGGTAGATGATAGAGATAGATGGATGGATGGATGGATGGATGGATGGATAGAGATAGATAGATAGATAGATAGATAGATAGATAGATAGATAGATGGATGGATGGATGGATGGATAGATGATAGAGATGGATGGATGGATGGATAGATAGATCGATAGATAGATCAATAGATAGAATGGATTGATAACAGAATCAAAAGAATATAGACCTTATATAGATAGATATATGATAGATCATAAAATAGAGCAAGGAATACATAATAGATATAAATGGATGGATGGATGGATAGATGATAGATAGATAGATAGATAGATAGATAGATAGATAGATAGATAGATAGATAGAGATAGGATGCTTCTTCATTGCCTCAGGAGTGGCATAGAGCCCCCATTCCTTCATGAATCAATGAATGTATAAATAAACAACAACAACAACAACCCTTTTGGAGTCTCCTGTTGCATAGAAAATGGCCAAGGTCTTCTGCCTGCCAGGTGGCATGGAACGAAGGTCTCCATGGGTCAAGCCAGTGTGCGCAGCTGAGCCTTCAGCAAAGAGGGAGATTTTACCGTGTTGTAATGTTATTTGTTTGTAAGCCAAGCGGGAAGATGAAGCCTCTGCTCCCCCAGATTGGGTGCCCCTTGGAAGGCTCAGCCAAACTTGACGTTTGCCGCTGTTGAGGCCGCTTCTTGGAGTGCCTTTCTTTGAATGCACCAAGAACCTAAACAGTGTCTCCAGCGAAAATGGCCTTGCTGGCAGCGATTGCAGTGGAAACTGGGCAAAAGCTCAAGATGTGAACAAACAAACCCAAGTCTTGCTATTTCAGCTCCCAATGAAAGCAAACATCAGCCACAACCTGATGCAGGGCTGGAAAGGTTGCCATGGATGGGATCAACTTGGCTTCGCCCATGGTTTGCATTAATGGGATCATGACAAGAAAGATGGGCACCTGGGCAGGAGTTGAACCCATTCCCCAGACCAACTGCACTGCCATGGCACAAAGGGTTAGGAGCCTGGGAGTTGTAGTTTGGCACTCCTTGGTAGGGAAGGCTGACATTTGTCAGTTTTAGTCAAAGTGCATTGATAGATAGCTATAGAGAGAGGTAGATAATATAATGGATAGGTGATAAATAGATGAGTTGATAGGAAGAGAGAGAATGGATACAGGGATGGACAACTAGATGGTATGTATGCTTCTATTTGCCTGTTCCTTTTATACATATAGATAGGTAATAGAGAGAGAAAGAGACATACAGACAGACAGATGATAAATAGGATGGATGGTATTTATTATTCTATGGTCCAACAGTTGTCCAGTTTACAAGCTTAAGTCAAACTGTATTGACAGATGGATGGATGGATGGATAGATAGATAGATAGATAGATAGATAGATAGATAGATAGATAGATAGATAGATGATAGAGAAAGATGGATGGATGGATAGATGGACGGACGGATGGATGGATGGACAGACAGACAGATAGATGATATAGATGGATGGATAGATGGATGGATGGATGGATGGATGGATGGATGGATGGATGGATGGATAGATAGATGATAGAGATAGATGGATAGATATGTGAATGGATGGATGGATGGATGGATGGATGGTAGATAGATAGATAGATAGATAGATAGATAGATAGATAGATAGATAGATGATAGATATAGATAGATAGATAGATGATAGATAGATAGATAGATAGATGATAGATAGATAGATAGATAGATAGATAGATGATAGATAGATGATAGATGATAGATAGATGGATGGATGGATGGATGGATGGATGGATGGATGGATGGATGGATGGATGGATGGATGGGTGGTGTTGGGGTTCAGCCTGAGTTTGAACTTGAACCTGATTCTCTGTTTGTTCCTCCTGATGCTAATGAAAGTATATTTACTGATGCTAGTGGAAATGTACCTTTTGATGCCAATGCTCCTGAAATTAGTGAGGAAGAAACTGCTGTAGGTTTGGAAAATGCCAATGTTCCTGAAATTAGTGAGGAAGGAACTTCTGTAGATTTGGAAAATGAAAGTACCAGTGTTCATGAGAATGTTTCAGAGGGAGACCTTGAACTTTCCCTCCCTTCTGCACCTGTTAACTGTAATGACAACAGAAGGGGCCAAATTTGGGAAGACAGAAGTAAATCACTCAGTTTGTGTCGATCCTCCCGAATTCAAGAATTAAAAACATTGGCTTCAAAAAAGAAGGGCGGTTCACGGAACCAATTCTTGAGTTTTAATTGCAATACGCCAGGCTGATTGGCTCAGTTCAGGCATCGTTTCAGAATTGATGAAGACCTTGGCAGTTCTCCCGGTTCCCTGGCCATAGTTTGGGAAGATTTCTAGGATATCAAGTACGGTTAGTGGATTGCTAACAGATTCCAGTATTTTCCAGTGAGGCTTTTGGTTTTGCTTTGTCCATTTAAATTCATGTTTGCTGATTTTGCTGTGGCTTTTGACTTGCATTTTTCCTTTATTTTGTAACCATTTTTCTTCAATAAAAAAGGATTGTTTTTCACAGCCAAGTGTGGTGGATAGTTATCTTAGGCCTCGTTCTCTGCTCTGGATTAATTAGTGAATGGATGAATGGATAGATGATAGATAGATAGATAGATAGATAGATAGATAGATAGATAGATAGATAGATGATAGAGATAGGTGGATGGATGGATGGATAGATAGATGATATGTATGTATGTATGTATGTATGTATGTATGTATGTATGGATAGATAGATAGATAGATAGATAGATAGATAGATAGATAGATAGAGATAGGTGGATGGATGGATGGATGGATGGATAGATAGATGATATGGATGGATGGATGGATGGATGGATGGATAGATAGATAGATAGATAGATAGATAGATAGATAGATAGATAGATAGATAGATAGATAGATAGATGATAGAGATAGATAGGTGGATAGGTGGATGGATAGATAGATGATATGGACAGTCGGACAGACAGACAGACAGACATATAGCTAGATGATAGAGATAGGTGGATGGATGGATGGATGGATGGATGGATGGATGGATGGATGGATAGATAGATAGATAGATAGATAGATAGATAGATAGATAGATAGATAGATAGATAGAATATATAAGAGTATTTTTACTTCCATGGTCCAAGAGTGGCCCATTTTACAAGTTTGGGTCAAATTGCATAGATTTATATGATAATATGAAATCTTATTATTTGTTATGATGAACCATTGAAGTATGGACACTATTGAGGTTGGCTTTGAGCCCATCTTTCAATCTCTTTTCCTGCCCACCAACATTCCGTTTTCCGTTCTTGAGTTCGGAGTAGAGCAACTGCTTTGGGAGACGGTGGTCGGGAATCCGGACAACATGGCCAGTCCAGCCGGTCAATGCTGGTGATCTTTGCTTCTTCCAGCAAGAGATTCCAGCAACCCTATCTTCCCAAGAGATTTGCAGGATTTTTCAGAAGCAACACTGTTGGAATTGTTCCAGGAGTTGCGTATGACATCTGTGGACAGCCCATGTTTCACAGGCGTAGAGCAGGGTTGGAAGGACAATGGCTTTGTAAAGAAGCACCTTGGTATCCCTACGGATGTCCCAGTCCTCAAACACTCTCTGCTTCATTTGGAAAAATGCTGCACTCGCAGAGCTCAGGCGGTGTTAAATTCCAGTGCCAATGTTGACATCTGTAGACAGTCCACGTTTCGCAGGCATATAGCAGGGTTGGGAGGACAATAGCTTTGTAGGCAAGCCCCTTGGTCTCTCTACAGATGTCCCGGTCCTCAAACACTCTCTGCTTCATTCGGAAAAATGCTGCACTCGCAGAGCTCAGGCGGTGTTGTATTTCAGTGTCAATGTTGACTTTTGTGGAGAGGTGGCTGCCAAGGGAGCAGAAATGGTCCACATTTTAATACTGCTTTAATTGTTTTAATTTGCTTTAGGTGTATTGTTATGTTGTGTATTGAGGCTTTGGCTTTTGTAAGCCACATCGAGTCCTTTGGGAGATGCTAGCGGGGTACAAATAAAATTTAATAATAATAATAATTTTCTAATGTGACACCATTAAGCTGTATCTCTGGCATTGGAGAGGAATTGGCTGGTGACTGCTGGAACAGCACTTTGGTTTTCTCAATGTTCAATGACAGGCTGAGCTTCTCGTATGCTTCTGCAAAGGTGTTTAGAGTGGCTTGTAGGTCTTATTTTGAATGCGCACAGATGACGTTGTCATCAGCATATTGGAGTTCTATAACATATATTGTTGTGACCTTGGTTTTGACTTTCAGTCTGCTGAGGTTAAACAGCTTGCCGTCTGTCCGATAGATTTAGTCCATCTGTCTTTCCGAGAGATTTGCAGGATTTTTCAGAGGCAACATTGATGGAATTGTTATTCTGAATGCGCACAGATGACGTTGTCATTAGCATATTGGAGTTCTATAACAGGTGTTGTTGTGACCTTGGTTTTGGCTTTCAGTCTGCTGAGGTTAAACAGCTTGCCATCTGTCCGATAGATTTAGTCCATCTGTCTTTCCAAGAGATTTGCAGGATTTTTCGGAGGCAACGTTGATGGAATCGTTCTATTCACCCCCACTCTCCCCTGTGCTTTCTCTCCTTCCTTCCTTCCTTCCTTCCTTCCTAGTGCCTTTCCGGGAGACCCCCAGCTACACGAAGCGCCGCCGCCTGCTGCTGACGCCGGGGGGCCTCTCCTCGCCGCACCTGCTCCAGCGCTCCGCCAGCGACAACAACCTGAAGTCGGAGAGCCGTGTCTCGGCGGCGGCCATGTCCTCCTACTCGCCGGTGCCCTCCCTGCGCGGCCTGCGCCCAGGGCTGCTGGCCGAGATGCAGGAGGCCGGGATCGGCATGGGGGATGGCAGCCTGGTCAGCACCGGCAGCAGCGCCCGCAGCGCACACAGCCGCTCCCCGTCCCTACAGCGCCTGCGCGCCGGGCTGGAGAAGGAGGCCGATCCACACACCCTGCGGCGGAGCGGGCGCAGCAAAGCCAGGTCAGGAGGCACCTCTGGGGATGGGGCGCGGGGTCAGGGGACTTCGGAAGCCACGTGGCGGGGCCTTCTTTGCAGTGGCTTCGGGGCCATGGGTCAGTTTAGGGGAGGAACTGGTCATTGGAGACACTGGACAGTTCTCCAATCTCTTTCCAATGACATTGGAACCATGAATCAGGTATTGGACAGCTTAAGATAACTCGTTCCAATGGCATCAGATTCAGCGGTCAGTGTTAGGGAGGAACTGACCCTTGGAGTCACTGGGCAGCTTCTGGGTCTCTCTCCAATGCAGTGGCATCAGGGTCGTGGGTCAGTTTAGGGGAGGAACTGGCTATTGGAGACACTGGACGGGTCTTCAATCTCTTCCCAATGACATTGGAACCATGAATCAGGTATTGGACAGCTTAAGATAACTCGTTCCAATGGCATCAGATTCAGGGGTCAGAGTTAGGGGGGAACTGACCCTTGGAGTCACTGGGCAGCTTCTGGGTCTCTCTCCAATGCAGTGGCATCAGGGCCGTGGGTCAGTTTAGGGGAGGAACTGGCTATTGGAGACATTGGACAGCTCTTTGGTCTCTTCCCAATGGCATTAGGAGTGTGGGTCAGTAGAAGGGAGGAACTGACCAGTGGGAACAGTAGGCATCTCCCCCCAATGGTATTAGGACTGTGGGTCAGTGTTAGGGAGGAACTGACCCTTGGAGTCACTGAGCAGCTTCTGGGTCTCTCTCCAATGCAGTGGCATCAGGGCTGTGGGTCAGTTTAGGGGAGGAACTGGCTATTGGAGACGTTGGACAGCTCTTCAATCTCTTCCCATTGGCATTAGGAGTGTGGGTCAGTATAAGGGAAGAATTGACCAGTGGGAACAGTAGGCATCTCTTCAATCTCCTCCCAATGGCATTAGGGCCGTGGGTCAGTATAAGGGAGGAACTGACCCTTGGAGTCACTGGGCAGCTTCTGGGTCTCTCTCCAAGGCAGGAGCTCCTTTGCATTGGCATCAAGGCCATGGGTCAGTTTAGGGGAGGAACTGGCCATTGGAGACACTGGACAGCTCCTCAATCTCTTCCCAAAGGCAATGGGGTCATGGGTCAGTTAAGAGGAGGAACTGATATTGGGGATATTGGACAGCTTAAGATAACTCTTTCCATTGGCATCAGATTCAGGGGTCAGTGTTAGGGAGGAACTGACCTTTAGAGTCATTGGGCAGCTTCTGGGTCTCTCTCCAAGGCAGGAGCTCCTTTGCAGTGGCATCAAGGCTGTCGGTCAGTTTAGGGAAGGAACTGACCATTGGGAATGTTGGACAGCTCTTCAATCTCTTCTCAGTAGCAGTGGGGTCAGGGATCAATATAAAGGAAGAACTGACCATAAACTGACCATAAACAGCTCTTCAATCTCTTCCCAATAGCAGTGGGGTCAGGGATCAATATAAAGGAAGAACTGACCATTGGGAACGTTGGACAGCTCCTCAATCTCTTCCCAGTGACATTAGAGCTGTGGTCTGTTAAGAAAAGGAACTGACCATTGGAGTCACTGGGCAGCTTCTGGGTCTCTCTCCAAGGCAGGAGCTCCTTTGTAGTGGCATCAGGGCCATGGGTCAGTTTAGGGAAGGAACTGACCACTGGGAATGTTGGACAGCTCTTCAATCTCTTCCCAATGGCAATGGGGACAGGGATCAACATAAAGGAAGAACTGACCATTGGGAACATTGGACAGCTCCTCAACCACTTCCCAGTGGCATTAGAGCCATGGGTCAATTAAGAGGAGAAACTGACCATTAGAGTCACTGAATGGCTTCTGGGTCTCTCTCCAAGGCAGGAACTTCTTTGCAGTGGCATCAGTGCCATGGGTCAGTTTAGGGGAGGAACTGACCATTAGAATCACTGAATGGCTTCTGGGTCTCTCTCCAAGGCAGGAGCTTCTTTGCAGTGGCATCTGGGCCGTGGGTCAGTTTAGGGAAGGAACTGACCATTGGGAATATTGGACAGCTCCTTGATCTCTTCCCAGTTGCAATGAGGTCATGAATTAGTTAAGAGGAGTAGCTGACCTTTGGGAACGTTGGACAGCTCCTCAACCATTTCCCAGTGGTAATGGGGCCATGGGTCAGTTTATGGGAGGAACTGACCATTGGGGCAGTGGACATCTCCTGCTGTGTCACTTCCCAAGGCAATGCAGTTGTCTTTCTGGCCAGGTCCCCATGTGGCACAGTACTCAGTGGTGCAACTGGAGTTGTGGGTCAGTTGAGGGGCAGAACTGACCGCTGGAGATGCCGGTCAGCTCCTGGGTCTCTCTCCAAGGCCGGGGCTCTCCTGGGTCTGGGACACCTGCTGCCCCATGTAACGTGTGGATGCGTGTGCATGATTGTGTGAAGTTGTGTTTGGGGTGCCCTTTCCCTCCTGTCCCCATTGCGTCCTTGTTGTTGTTGTTTTCCAGGGAGAAAGACTGAATAATAATAATAATAACAATAATAATAATAATAATAATAATAATGGTGACAACTGCACATGGTTTGAATGCCGTTCCCTTGGTGAGACACTTAGGATGACACTAAGTAAATATACAAGTAAATATATTAATATTAATAACAATGATGATGATGATGGTGATGGTGATGGTGACACATCATGAGAATGCAAAGGACTGTTTTCCATTGACAGAACAATTTCAATGGTTGCACTATGTAACAACATTTAAATATTTTTATCCTGGTTTGAATGTGTTGCTTCCTGTTTAATTGTGCAGTATTTACTTTGAAAGGACTTGCTCTACTCCGGAAACTTTGTTTTTGTGGCTGCCACAAAGTTACGTTGAATTCGAGGAGAAGATGGGGCAATGCTGACAGGGGATGATAGGGAAAAGGCAGGACTACTTAATGCCTTCTTTGCCTCGGTCTTCTCACAAAAAGAGAGTCTTCAACCTCAGCAAGATGGAGTGGATGAGGGATTGGAGGACATCCAACCCCAAATTGGGAAAGAAGTCGTCCAGGAATACCTGGCCGCTCTTAATGAGTCCAAGTCCCCTTTCAGGGCCAGATCAACTACACCCCAGAGTATTGAAGGAACTAGCGGAAGTCATTTCGGAACCATTGGCAACCATCTTTGAGAGTTCTTGGAGAACGGGAGAAGTTCCAGCAGATTGGAGGAGGGCCAATGTGGTCCCAATCTTCAAGAAGGGAAAAAAGGATGACCCAAACAACTACCGTCCGGTCAGCCTCACGTCGATACCGGGCAAGATTCTGGAAAAGATTGTTAAGGAAGCGGTCTGCAAACACTTAGAAACAAATGCGGTCATCGCTAAGAGTCAACATGGATTTATCAAAAACAAGTCATGCCAGACTCATCTGATCTCTTTTTTCGATAGAGTTACAAGCTGGGTAGATGCGGGGAATGATGCCGTGGATGTGGCGTGTCTGGATTTCAGGAAGGCCTTCTTTGACAAGGTCCCCCATGACCTTCTGGCAAGGAAACTAGTCCAATGTGGGCGAGGCAAAACTACGGTGAGGTGGATCTGGAATTGGTTAAGTGGACGAACACAGAGAGTGCTCACTAATGCTTCCTCTTCATCTTGGAAAGAAGTGACAAGTGGAGTGCCGCAGGGTTCCGTCCTGGGCCCGGTCCTGTTCAACATCTTTATTAATGACTTAGATGAAGGGCTAGAAGGCAGGATCAAGTTTGCAGACGACACCAAATTAGGAGGGATAGCCAATAGTCCAGAGGACAGGAGCAGGATTCAAAACGATCTTGACAGATTAGAGAGATGATTGGCCAAAACTAACAAATGAAGTTCAACAGTGACAAATGCAAGATACTCCACTTTGGCAGGAAAAATGAAATGCAAAGATACAGAATGGGGGACATGCCTGGCTCGAGAGCAGTACGTGTGAAAAAGATCTTGGAGTCCTCGTGGACAACAAGTTAAACATGAGCCAACAATGTGATGTGGCGGCAAAAAAAGCCAATGGGATTTTGGCCTGCATCAATAGGAGCATAGTGTCTAGACTAGGGAAGTCATGCTACCCCTCTATTCTGCTTTGGTTAGACCACACCTGGAATATTGTGTCCAATTCTGGGCACCACAATTCAAGAGAGATATTGACAAGCTGGAATGTGTCCAGAGGAGGGAGACTAAAATGATCAAGGGTCTGGAGAACAAGCCCTATGAGGAGCGGCTTAGGGAACTGGGCATGTTTAGCCTGAAGAAGAGAAGGCTGAGAGGAGATATGATAGCCATGTATAAATATGTGAGAGGAAGCCACAGGGAGGAGGGAGCAAGCTTGTTTTCTGCTTCCCTGGAGACTAGGACGCAATGGAACAATGGCTTCAAACTACAAGAGAGGAGATTCCATCTGAACATGAGGAAGAACTTCCTGACTGGGAGAGCCGTTCAGCAGTGGAACTCTCTGCCCCGGAGGGAGTGTGGTGGAGGCTCCTTCTTTGGAAGCTTTTAAGCAGAGGCTGGATGGCCATCTGTCAGGGGTGATTTGAATGCAATATTCCTGCTTCTTGGCAGAATGGCGTTGGACTGGATTATGGCCCAGGAGGTCTCTTCCAACTCTTTGATTCTATGATTCTATGATTCTATGAATTGGTGGAGACTCTATGGTGAGAGATTCATTGGAAAACTTGCATGATGTGCCCTCGCAGGACGATGTCCCTCCCGTTTGAGGAGAGGGCTTGGCACCTGTTTGGGGGGGGGGGCAGGAGGGCCGCCACCCCAAGGGGAGACCCACCTGTCCGCCTCGGGGGGCCTTTCCCCTGCAGACTGACAGCTGGCTGGCACAACAAGACACCCATTGGGGCATAGAGACGCATGTGTATGCGTGTGTGTTCATTCACACACATGCAAGGGCTCTCTTGCTCGGTTTCTTATTCCGGGGGGACTCAGCGGTTGCTAAGGGTTCGCTTGCCGATCTTAGCAACTGCTCCAGAACCGCCGAGAAATAAGCAGAACTATTAGAAGAGAGAGAGAGAGAGAGACCCTTCAACAAGGGTTTAAAATAAAAGAGGGAG